CATTCCTGGGAGTAAAAATGTGTTCTGCAAATGAGTATTTACTGAGTGAGACCCTGCAAAGCACCTGAGAAAACAGAGCACATGTGTACCTCTAAAATGGGCATTTTGTGGTACCCACAGTTACAAAGATCTAAGCTGAACAGAGGATACTCACTGAATGGAGTTGAAACACTGTCACAAAGACACAGAAGGAAGTACTTTAAAAATCAAGCCTATTAGTGCCCACCTTCCTCTGCTTTCCCTTCTTGCAACTGGAGGAGAGATGACCGCATACCCATGCGATACCAGAAGGAACACCAAGTTGTTTTACACTTTGTTTTGTTTCCCATAAAATGACGTTTCAGCCCCCTAAGCATCCCCTCTCCCATTCAGAGAGTGTGACCGAAGCAGGGTCGTGTCCCTGCCACAGGGCGAACTGGCTCCTCCTGGGCAGTGCTGCCTGCTTGCTTCTTCCCGGGTAGCTGGCTGTGAGGGGGCCAAGCAGCAGGCTAATTTAGAGCTCTAAAAGCTGGCAGCAGGAGCACAATTAAGCCGTTTTCACAGACTGCTGGCCAAATGCAGCAATTTATTGGCTGAGTGATTGGATTATTCATTTGCAAAGCTAAGAGAGAGCATTTTCTTACCACTTCAGTTGGCCTGTAGTACTTGTGATTGACTGTCACATGAATCTTGCCAGTCTCTTTGCATCGTCCTACTTCATTTTCATTCTTCCCTTCCCACCTGTAAAGAAGATAAACATTTAATCAACCCATAATTACTTTAGTGCTCTGATCTTACCAGCATTTGGCCTGCTTTCATTTACTTGAGGCTGGTGTCAATTCTCCCTGCAGGACAGTATAAACTCATTAGCTATAGGAACAAAGGCAGAGTTTAGACTTGAATGGAGCAACAATGGCTTTTGAAGTCTCTTTGTTTTGGTTTTTTGATTCAGTGGAAGGTCTAAAATACAGGACTTCCAAATTAAACACATAATGCTAAGAGAAAATAAAATGTCCTGATTTCAGAATGTCTCATGTATCTGCAAATAAATATGACAGTAAGGTTTTTCATTTGTGGATTGGTTCAAAGTTGTTTTCTTAAAATATTTTTAATTCTTGTATTTTGGCCAGTACTTTCAGGAACTCTTTAATCTGTTAATTTTATGGACGTGAAGCTCTGTTTGAATAGCATTAAGCTGCATAATTTAATTTGTGCTTAACTAGGAAAAACAAAACAAAAACAGTTCTTGAGTTTTCAGTCCTAGCTCAACATGGCACTTCACATACATGTTCTGTAAACAGTACTTAGTACCTGTGAGCTGAAAGCCAGCTACTTTGCCCAAATTAGTTTCATATGTGCTGAACAGCCTGCAATTTGCTGTAATTTACGTGATCTGGTTGCACCATGAACTAATTTATTAGCAACTGTCCTGGTCTAAAATTTTGGGAGCAGCAGCAGAGGAACGGTTTGGTGGGTGACTAGCTTGGCCTTTGGAGAGGCCAATCTGCAGCCTGGAAGCTGAGAATGATGCTCCCTCTCAAAACAAATGCTTCAGATGACACATGTAAGAACATACATTGCTACATTAAACCTAATCCTTTGAATGTACAAAATCCAGAGTTATGACTGAAACTCTATCCTCTCTTTGTTTTTTGCATCTAAATATATATCATGGGGGTCTGAACCAGCTTGGCATAAAAGTGTAGTGATTAAATCCTTTGCTTTTTTTGTGTTTAAGTAAAATCTATATAAATCAGCACTGAGATTTAGACTATTTAGCCTCAGTCACCAGCAATGAAAGAAAACCCCCCCTTGCCTCCCACTTACTAATTGTACTGCCAGCTCTTGGGATTTTGTTACAGATTTGATTTCTCTTTGCTCCCCTACCCCCTCCCCCCCCCAAGCTCCTAGAAGAATTTAATTCTTTGACAATCTCAGTCTTCATTTTTGAGTTTCTAGCCCTGAGGGCTAAAGAGGAAAGTCTGAAAATGTGACCTCTACGTACCCATGAAGGTTAAAACACCAAAAGGCAGAAGGAAATACCAAATATGCATTATTACTAGTTTTTAAATCCCACGATTTTTAAGCACAACTCATGACTTTTGGATGACTAGCAAAGCCTGTAGGATGCTTGATGCTGGGAACACTTCACGTTGAAATAATTTCCAACAGATAACAGCCATAGTGAAGTCAGCTGTTAATAGTCATGCCATGATGCTAAAGATGATTTATAATTTAAATTTTCTTTCTTTCTTTTTCACAGTTGCTCTGTTTGAAGCCTGAACTGCAAAGTTTTCATTCAGAAGCCAAAACTAACATTAGTCCCTCCCTTTAAAGGGCAGAGGGTAAAAATGTGCAGGACTCAAATGAGCTTAATAGAAAACTAACCGTCACCAGTAAAACAACAGGAAGCGCTTAGATCAGGAGACGTCAGTTGTTGTTGGAGGTCACTGGGCAGAGAACCCCATTTAACACCCAACAGGCTCCAGAAGGCTTGGCCGAGCCAGTAAAGACTCACTTAATGTCGCCATTGAAGTTATATAACAATAGAAATAGCTTAAGAAGAAATCTCCACCCGTTTTGTTCAGCCCAGTAATGTGAAAAGTTCACAAGGAAAAAAAAGTACTTCTCATTGTGAACAAAGTAGCATTTGATAGTTGCACTTCTAATTACTCCTGGCACCTCGGTGCTCACAGCTGGCGACACCATACTGCTGATAAAAGGGATTGCGCGAGGTCAGCCTGACACTAGGAGCAAGACATCCATTTCGCAAACCAACTCCCCCTCTCCTCTTCCCCTAACCACAAAGAAAGGAAAAAAAAACCCACCCTCCTTAATTTATAGTCAAATTGCCGTCAGAATTGTTAACTGGAAAACATAATGCCAGATTATCCTGAAGCACGAGCATGGTCAAAGAGGCATGGGGAACCCTCACGTTCCTGTGGTTTTAGATAGCTCCAGCCACAAGGACTAACCAGCTTTCTGCATCTTGGGGCGGATAGCCAAGTAGGCAAGAAAACAGCCTTGTGTAACTTGGGGGAAATGCAAAGGATGGCTTTAAATGGCTTTAAACTGGAAGAGGGAAGAGTTAGATTACATATTAGGAAGAAATTCTTCATGGTGAGGGTGGTGAGGCAGTGGAACAGGTTGCCCAGAGAAGCTGTGGATGCCCCATCCCTGGAAGTGTCCAAGGCAAAGCTGGATGGGGCTTTGAACAACCTGGTCTGGTGGGACGTGTCCCTGTGCATGGCAGGGAGCTTGGAACTGGATGGTCTTTAAGATCCTTCCAACCCAAACCATTCTATGATTCTATGATCCCTGGCTAAAGAAAGTTTGGCCAATCAGGGCTGGGCTAAATTTACAGGGGATGGAGAGTGGATCCCCCAACCTCCAGCTGGTGTCAAAGCCCAGGGCCTCCAGGCAGGCACCTGCTGGCCTAGTGTAGGCTTTTCACAAAACGCTGGTCCTAGGGCCTACAAGCAATGAGCCTCTACAGCAAGATCATTGCCTGCCCCACACTGTGGAGCTTCACCCTCTCACTGAAGCAAAGGATGGATTTGCTGTCACGGCTGACAGCATTAGCCATACGCCAGAATGCTCTGCACCCAGAGAAAGACACAGGAGACGATGTGTGTCTGCTACTGACAAAGGGGGTTTGATGCCCTCTGCATCTACACTTCCATGTCGAGTCCCTCACTGTTGGAAATAGGTGCTTTGGGATTGCTTAGGATGATAGTCATTGTCAAGTCTGGTGGATACCGCTACTATCACTAACCTCAGAAATTTCCGTAAAACTAAGTTAATCACGTTTCAAATGCATGTGCAAATTTATTTGTTAAAAAGGTTCTTCACCTCAAGAGCTTTTACACTCCAGATTTACAGAGGAATGGACTGCATTTAATTTAAGGTTAACTCCATTTCTGCAGATCACCACTGTTATAATACTTATCATCAGCTGTGATGAATGCTTCTTTTACTTTTCAACTCTAGAGATTCCAATTATTTTTCATTTCCTACAACTGTTCAGTAAGACAGCAAGCTTCAAGCTATAAAAACATCCACAGGTAAAGAGGATTTTCTGAGGACAAAGAGCTGGGGTACTTACCCGGTGGGGTGTGACATGGGCAAGGAAGGACACGGGAGTCAGGGTAATTGAGGTGGGGTGGGAATAGAACTGCAGTGGACCAAATGGTCCAAATGGCTATAACTGAGAAGCAAACAAGGCAAAGTACACAGATTTTTGAGGCGGTGAAGAAATCAGCTGAAAATGAAACCTTTCACAAAAGTACAGATAAACTGAACAAGTATATGCACTTCATCTCCTTGCTTGATCTTTACGTAGAAACAGAACTGATGGCATTTTAAAAAATACTCAAACCCACTAGTAGCTACAGCTGCTCAGCCTCTTTATGGAAAATAAAACTATCATGTACACCTTTTAAATGAAATATATGCCAATAGAAAATATTTTCACATTTGAAAATGAAAAATAAATTAATTTAAAACTAAATTTTAGGAAAATTTTCCTCTTCCTCCACAGCTAATATGAGACACCATTTGTGTAGACTTCTTGGATTTGTGGTCTGATTGCTGCTACATACACAATTAACCCAAAGCACTTCATTCTGTCCTGGCACTTTACAAACAGCAAAACAGACACCATATAACAGACCATTAATGTCTTTTGCAAGTAATCTTTTG